TTTTTTTTTTTTTTTTTTTTTGGCTTCTTCAAGCTCCACAGGCCCAGAGGGTGAGAATAAATCCTGAGAATTAAAAGAAAGTGCTAACTTGACTCCCAGCCCTTGGAGATGATTCCAGTACACAAAATTTGTTGTTATTGATAAGAACAATAAAAAAAAAACAAAAAAAAAAACTCCTACCAAAGGCTTTTTGAGCTGAAATTAGGGGCACCAGGGCTGGAGCTAACAGAGTAGAATGTGGGCCCCCCCTGGATAGGATACCCGGGACTCCAGCAGCCACTTTTCCTGTCCCCTCCCTAGCCACCAGACAAATGTGAGAATGGCTTCTGACTGCGGTCTGCTGGCCAAGGGGGAAGGCACCGTGGCTGGGGAAGCCCTACTCAAGGCCCTGTGACTTGGAGGAGAGAGGGGAAGAAGAGGCTGAGTAAACACTGACTCCCTTCAGGCTCTGCCCAGGCCGCCCTGCTCCCCCTGCTCATGGAGGGTGGGAGCTGACTGGCTGTGGTCACTTTTTCAGTAAGACCTGACTCACTTCGGTTAAAGTAACCATAGGAAGGAAGTGGGAAGCATCAAAGCTGAAATTCTGAGATGAAAGGTTAGAGTTAAGAATGGAGGCTAGCAGAAGGTGACGGGGGAGGGACAGACTCGCGAGTGCTGTGGCCTGGACATTTTAGGCAGTTAGGGCTCGCTGCCAGGTTCTGCATGCCAACGTGAGGAGGAGCTGGCACCTCCTTCAGGGGAACAGGCATCTGGGGAAGCTACAGAACCAGTGTTCGCAGCTACAATTCCTGGAGCACTTCTCTTGAGTGTGTCTGTGCTAGGTATATATTCATCAGATATGCTAGGGCATCATTATTGCTATTTTCTGTAAGACGATGTACCATTGCCATTTTTCAGAAAGCTCGGAAATACAAGATTTTTTTTTCCTGTATTTTTTTTTTTTTTTTTTTTTTGTTGTTGTTGTTGTTGGGGTTTAATGATCTAACAAGCTATAGAACATGTTTGAAGTTCAAGTTTTCTGAACTGCTTTATTAATACAGCCCTTTAAGCCATGAGTTGATCATAGACTAATCCCAAGGGATCCCTAGGCTCTAGACTTCCTGCTTCTAACCTGTTTGTGTATATTACTATGATACCTGATATTTATGCTAATAATGTGAACATTAATTAAAGCTATTTGTCGGCTACTTGGCTAAGGACTTGGTATCACTCTTTATTGTCATGTAAAACTATGAGGGATTAATTATTAACGTCTCCATTTTTCATATAATGAAAACGAGACCCAGAAAAGTTATATAACTTACCTTTGGTCATCCAGCTATTAAATGGTAGATCATGATCTCAATGACTATATTAAACTCCTAGATATCATTTTCATATATAAATTACTACAACATTCTTCTTTTCTAATATAATTCTGCTGTGTCTCATTGAAAATTGAGATACATATTCGGGTTCATTGGCATGCATCTATCTATTCTCATAGCTGCTGGGGAGGCTGAAGCAGAAGGATCATTGGAGTCCCAGGGTTGGAAGCCAGTTTATGTCTTTTTTAGACCTTAATATGTTGTATGCCTTTTTTTCTCTCTCTCAAGATATTTTAATATTTTCTTCTGTGACCTATTGGTTGTTCTGGAGCATGAAAAATACTGTCATGACTATATTGGACAACATGAAGAATGAAGAACTAAGTGTAGCATAACACACCATTTCTTTTGTGTTAATTATCTGTTGCAACACAAAAAAAAAGTTGGCCAGTTGAAATCATAAGCCTTTATTAATTCGGTTTCTATAGGTCAGGAATCCGAGAATGACAACTAGTAGTTCCGTCTCAGGATCTTTAATGACATTGCATTGAAAATGACAAGCCAGAGCTACAACCACTTGAAGACTTGACTGGGGCTGGAGGAATCATATTTAAGATGGCTCCTCACATAGCTATTCCAGGCTACTCCTTCCAGGTCTTTGCTCTGTCTGGCTGGAGTCATATCTACTTTGTCCCATGTCCCATGCTGATCAAAGCTCTATTTAGTAGCCATCTATTGTATCTCTAATCAACAAAAATCAGAAAATGAAATTATTTCTTTAAAACTTTAATAGAGTGTCCCTGGGCAACATTAATGGCAGCAGTTATTTGTGGTAAAAAGCTTCAAAACCACTGAATTAGATGACCTTCAAATTCTGCTCAAGCCTACAGACCCTCATCCCAGCCTGCGAGCTCTTCAGTCAGCCAGGCCCATTCCCACTCGACCCTCCTCCAGGACAAATCCTGTGTCTCCAGAGTCTGTACCAATGATCTTCTAGAGAGTTCCCCAGTCAACTGTGTAGCATCAACAGCTCCCCTCTCCCACCTGAGTTGAACAGCCATACAACCCTGAGCTTCCAGAAGCCTCTTGGGCACGCTGGCTAGACAAGACATGAAAGAAATAAAAGATCTGACGAAAATTACCACAGCTTCCCTCTTATCCCACAGGGATGTTATATGCAGCCTCTCCAGGCAGGTGGATCTTGGTTCTAAGCCCACAGCTGCCATTTGCCTATTAGCTGCATGACTTTGAGATGACACCTACCACAGTATTCTCCTCTGTAACATGGAGAAATGATCATTCCTTCAAGGTGATGGTGGTGTAAGAAATAAAAGCAAGAGTACATATAAAACTCCTGGCACAGAGTAAACACTCAAAAAAGGTAGGTCTATCCCTTAGGCATTTGTGAAAGTGCTAACATGCAACAAAATGGAAAGACAGATACTCTAACACCATGAAAATAGTGGGCACAACTTGCACTTGTGCCAATCACTATACCTAGACCTTTCCTTATAATGCCTTCTGCCTTCTCACCCACCATTTCTGCATAGAAAGATAAAATGGTTCATCCTTGAACTTGGGAGAGAAAGAAAGGAAATAATATTTTTTGAGTGGCTACTTTCAATATCCTGAAGTTGATCTCCAAAATGCTTTGGCTTGGTGAAGTAAAACAATATGTATAAATTACAGTCACTGGAGTTGCATAAATCCAATGAATCCAATGAACTGCTTAACATAGACGCCTGATTGTCAATAGTTACACATAGCATTGAATATAAATTAGTTTAAGCTTTATTCAATTATAATACATATGTTCATTCTCCACCATTGTTGCTTATCTGAACAAGAATTCAGCCTACTATCCTTCTTTTTCCCTTACCATTATTTGAAAGGGAAAGGAGATGTTTTGCAAACTTATGAAGCCATTGCATAACCGAGCCCACAATTGTCAAATATACAACTTAGAATCTCTTGTATGTTTGGAGAAATCTTCCTGAATTACTTAGAGGATGGGTAGTAGGTAGATTTGCATTGCTGTGACCAAAATAACCTAACAAGAACTACTTAGAGGAGGGAAAGTTTATTTTGGCTTACAATTCCAGAGGTTTAGTTCATGGTGGGCTGACTCCATTACTCTGGGCCCAAGGTGAGGCAGCACATCATGGTGGAAGGGCATGGCAGATGGAAGCTTTTCAGGAAAGGGCAGCCAGGAAACAGAGAGAGAAAGGGGAAGGGATCACAGAGCAAATGAATATTTGCAGGGCATATCCCCAGGGATTCAACTCCTCTAGCCATACCCCATCTTCCCACAGTTACCATCCAGTCATTCCATTCAAGCTATAATAGACTGATTATGTTATAGCTCTAATAATCCAATCATTTGACTTCTGAACATCCCTGCATTAATACCAGAGCTTTAGAGGGGACAGCTCATATCCAACCATAACATTCCACCCTGACCCCCAAAAGCTCATATCCATCTCACAATGCAAAATGCATTTAGTCCATCTCTTAGAGTCCATAGTCAATAGTTCCAGCACTGCCTGAATGTCCAAGTCCAGAGTCTCATCTGAGACTGAAGGCAAACACTTGGCTGTGAACCCCTATAAAGGTCAAAAGCAAGTTACATATATCCAATATGCAATGTCACAGAGTAAACATTCCCATTCTAAAAGTAGGGAATAAGGACATAGAAAGAAGAGTGGGACCAAAAAAGACTGAAACCCAACTTGGAAAATGGGTCCCATGACTCCAAGTATAGCGTCTTGGAGGTAAGAAATGCTTCCCAAAGGGCTTGGGCAGCCCCACTCCTTTGGCTTTGCCTGCTGCAGCACACATGGCTCTCTTTTAGCCTAATTTTCTCTGTAGCCTACAACTTTCTCAACTAACGATCCATGTTACTGGCATTTCTTAATTCCTTGGGTCTGCATTCCAGCTATGACTTCACCTTCACAGCTTCATATATTGCCCTCTCCAGGGCAGCCTGCAGGGATTCCAACCCTAATACACTTTGCCCTGCTTCCCAGGTCTCCCTTTGAAATCTCAGTGGAAGCCTCCATGAGCCCTTAATTCCAACATCCAGCATTCCTGCAGAACTAGCACCACGTGGATGACACCAAGGTCTGCCACCAGTTCATGAAGTAGCTGGGCCCTCTGGGATCATGGCTGCAATGGCCCCTGGATGTCTTGTGAACTAACTTCCTAGGGCACC